CAGTACGAATATCAGTAAAACAATACAGTAAAGAAATCAGGGATATAGTGGTTGCGTCTTCCAGAGGATGGCTGTGAAAATTCAATTGAAGAAGAACGTGAAAATAATCTGGGGAGAAAAAAAAGGAGGGCCAAACTTCTTTTCCATGAAATTTCCCACTTTCTTGCGTGCAAGAGGGTCATTTTGCACCGGAAAAAAAGAACGAAATCAGAGCTCGATGGCGAGCATACAGGCTGGACGCATTACTGGAATTCCTTGGCGAGACCGGCTTCCCTGTGCAACCGTAAGACTGGAGATGCGACCGAAAAATGGTCGGAATGATTAGGAAAAGTGTTCGCATATAGGCTCATTGTTATACAGAAGGCACTATTCCAAGACCACTTTTGGTGCCCGGAGCGAAAGCAAACATTTCTCTAACGTGCGAACATCATCACCGCCTATGAAAGGCCAGTCCCTGGTAGCGACTCATAAATGGGTAGGACTTCGATCCCAAGCTCACAAGCATCGGCTTTGGATGAATGCAGATGAGGAGCTGTTCATCTGCATTCATCCGAAGCCGTATTATGCAGTGAGGAGTTAGGTGGGCTCAAGCGGATCATCATCATGGTAATGGGATCCCTGAGTTGTAGACTTTTAAACGGGCTCTGACAAAAAAACCGTCTGCCTATATGTACTGCCTGTTCTCTGACGACAGATCGACAAGCGGAGGGCAGCACTCAACCTTAAAAAAGTCACCATTGCGTATCACCGTACAAGGGCTTGGGTAATCGTATAGTTCGGCAGTCTTTCGGCAAAAGCTGGACGGTTCATGAGTCTTTTCGTATCTGGTCGCAAATCTGATAGCCAGTACTCCAGCTGCGCGCTTGCCATTGAATAGTGCCCACAGCTGTTTGCTCATCTAAACGCACCGTTTAGTGGCTAGTGCGACGATAACTTCGTCGGAACTGTATTATGTAGTAACTAACCGTTAAGGAAGAAGTTTTTAACAGAATAAAACCTTTCACGTTTTTGAATGAGAAGAACTGATAATTCTTCTTCTGGCCGCTAGCGCCCGCGGCTGTCTACAATCACTATCCCAGCAAATGAGAGGTCTTGTGAAAAGGCGCGAGCGCAGAACTCCTGAAATGTAAGCTTGTACTCATGATGTTTGGAGGCGAACTGGTGTGATTATATGGAAGTGGATTGGATTGGCCGGTCACGTTGTCCGATTTAAAGGCATCCGATGGACGTCCCCGGCGTTCGTAATAATTGAATCCTTCTTGATTACAAGAGGTCGCAAAAAATTCCGAAAAAAGACCTTGAAGAAGTGTAGGTGGGAAAACTCGGCTGACAACCAGAACCAACCTTTGCCAATAATAACATCAACCATAAAAACAAGCTCAACCACACTCCTTATCCCTGAGACGGAGAAGGCGTGGCATTCGAACATGGCATAGAATGGGTTGCTCGCAGGGCATTTAATTTTGAGATCATTGTCATCTTGTTCAGTGTTAGGCAGAGATATCGTTGTGTCATGAAAACATCTCACCCGAAGCCTGCCCTCCCCCCCCCCTTGCGTGTTCAGTTGAAGTACGCTTGTATGCCTTCCACGTCTCACGGATTCGAATGTAGCTCGTGTGTAATTCGATCGAGGTCATAGATTTTCAAGGTAAAGATAAAGAAGTGCTGGTAAGTTGTAGAACACTCTCTACCATGGATATGGGGAGGGACGCAGCTAGTTCTTCATTTGAACCGTGACGGCGATCGCCCTTCTCATGGGAAATTTACGTTTTAGGACAGTTGTAATGATGTCTTTGTCCAGGCCAAGAAAGGATGACAGTTGTCGCAAACAGAAGTATCCTACGAAAAGCGCATCCTACACCATGTTCAAGTAAAGTAGGAAGTTAAGTCCCTCCCATCTTTGTGATGTGTTGTAGGTAACACGTGCTCCAAAGAAATGCACTATGACACGCTCAAAGCAAGACGAATGAAGTTGGCGCTTTATAAATGTTTGTTATGCACTAAGGCACCTCCCGTGATATGCGATTTATTCCCGGAAGGAAAAACAAACCACGAATGAGACAGGAAGTGCACCAGCAGATACATATTTGCATAGACAGAGGCTCAAACATTTCCGTCTCCCTTATTTTATTATTTATAGCTCCCAGCTCTGCTCATAACCCCTTTTTCAATCGTAGGTGTGGGATCCTCGTGCAAAGGTGTAAAAGTTTTGACTGTGTTACTTCTAGCAACTGCTGTAAGATGTGGTGAACTCGATCGTTAAGTGAAAGTCCAAGTTCTTTGAGACAGCTTACAGAGCTCATTTGGTTGCCTGTCCCAGCAGAGGATACTGTGCCGATAAAGGCGTCAAGGGCGGTAAAGGCGATTGTCTTACTCTGTCAATTTCTGGCTGTCAGGTTATAAGACCATTTGGAAGGGAAGCAATTCTCCTAGAGAGCGGACGGAATGTGATGTTTGATGATGAGGATGGGCTCAGTGATCGTGGTAGCAAGGTGTCAGCAAATATTCTGGATGTACCACTTTCTGTACAACAAGGTCACACCTGGGCGGCGACGGGAGGGGGCATTTTGCAATTTCATTTATTCACTAGCTCCGGTTTACAATCTTTCTCTGGTAAAACCTGTGAAGTCTTGTGAAGCTGGGCCACGCTCGTCAAGCCAGCATGGTAAATCTGTTAACTCAAGTGCAGGCTCTGTAGACGGGTCGACACGTCGGGAAGTAGCAAAAGTGCAAGGTGCCAACTCCCTCCCCGCCCCCCCCCCCCTCGCCAAACTGTCCCCACCTGAACTACTCATTTGTACAATAGGCGCACTAATGTAAGTTGTGCTAACAAGGGAGGTCGTTCAGGCCGTGGTGAGCTTTTTCAAAACGGTTTGTTGCATGTTGTAGGGGTCCATGCGAGGACCACAGCGATGGGGTTCATTTTTGCTAAACGGTTCTGGGAATGTCAAAAAAGGTCAAAAACAATTCGAAAAGAATGGGCTTTTTAAACCACCTTATTCGCCTCTGTTCTAGCTGTAGCGTTGACAGGGTATAGTATGTAGGGTATCCTTTGAGCAGGCATGAAAAACAGCGCAAAATAAGGTCAAAATCCAAATGGTCTACTTGGCATGCGGTGAGCTGCATTGGAGTTTTCCGGTCATCTGCGCATATCTCTTCAACAGGTCCTGTATCTCTAGTGTCGCAGTGGCAGATGGTGTGGTGGATAGTGCGACGGGCTCTCGGTCGGTGGGTTTATGGATCGGATCCCCTTGCCGACACATTTTTGCATTTTTCACATTTCTTGCTTCTTGTATTCCTGTATGCCCCATAATGTGTATGACCCGGATATACGCCATTTGAAGGCACATTCCATGCGGGAACGGTTCACAAATAGGCCTCACTCAATTATTACGCTCGCGAAATACTATCGAAAAACTCTCATGAAACTTGGGTTACGGCGGTTACGGCGGGCCAGCGTGGCGCTAAATGGCCACTGCGAGCGCGAAGGGATGCTGCATAAACCCCTAAAGAAACTGCAGTGTACCTCACTGTATGCAAAGTAAAGCACTTCAATTTCGACCTTATTCAATATTGTTTTTCATGTCTAGTTGAGGAACACTTTATAAACTCTATGTATTCTGCTTTACAGCTGAAACAGATGCGAATGAGATGATAAAACTTGCGTATTTTAAGCGATTTGTTTTTATTCCTTTTTTGACATTCCCAATAGCGTTTAGCAAAAATGAAACCCATCTGTGTGGTCCTTGTATGGACCCCTACAACATGCAACAAATCGTTTTGAAAAAGCTCACCACGGCCTGAACGACCTCCCTTGTAAGGATCAGTTGGGGTGGAAATGGGTAATGAATCAAGTGTGCTCGAAGTTTTGGGGTGTAGTTCATAACACCAGAAGCACGACATCGCGCACAGAGGGACACAGTGTTCCCAGTCTATACAACGTGACACTGCAGCACCGCGCCATATTAGGTCCAGGTGCAAACAACATAGCCCTCAACGGTTCTTCTGCGGCCCTCGCTGAGGCTCGAATGTGCTGACAATGAGCCATAACCACCGTCCTAATTGAATATAATTGAATAAAAGGATATAACAACTCAATCGCAGCGGATATGCGTGGTATATTCAAATCTGGAGCTCCTCAAGGCGCCTTTCTGCACCCTCCACCCAATAAATCGTAAACTATACGGCACAGTTCGGCGACCGGGGGGGGGCATTTTGCACTTTTGATACTTCCCATCGACGTGTCGACCCATCTAGACAGCCTCTTCTCGAGTTGACAGGTTTTACCATGATGGCTTGACGAGCTTGCTCCAGCTTCACAAGAGTTCACAGGTTTCACCAGAGTGAGACTTGTAAACCGGAACTAGTGATGCAAAATGCCGACCCCCACCCCTCCGTCGCCGAACAGCGCAGGACTATATTACTACAGACCAGTTCGAATACCAAAGGAATCATAGTATGCGTATCCGGTTTCTGTTTAGAACAATGATCAAGGGAACGATCCGAAGTCCAGTTCAACGATTTTCTAAGCAACCACAATAATATCAGAGCTAGGCGGAAGGCCAATGCTCTCGGTTGACTGGGGAACTAGCATTGTGTGGTACATACCAGTGAAGATCAAGCATTCCAAAGTAGTTAGATTGAACGATATTTGCATGCAAGGAGAGGAAAAAAACACACTGCCTGCAGAAAAACATGGAACTCTAGCCTGAAATCCGTGCGACATCACAGGATTATCGCAATCCTCTTCCCTTGCATAATTTTTGATGGGTACTTATCCGCAGCCTCACACGGAGTCACGCCCACTCGAGTTCTAATGAAATACGACGATGAACTGATTCAGATTTGCCGCTCTCTGAGATGCAGCACTGAAGAGAGATTCCGCTACTGTATGTAAGGCGCGGGTAGTAGAGTCCAATCATGGATTTTTTAGTTGGCTTATCAGCTACGAAAAAATGGGAAGGAAAACACGTAGAAAACACCGAAAATGAGGTGGTTTGATGAACACTCATGGCTCCGGTTAGAGGCGCAAATGAGAAACCAGGCAGTGGGTGAATTTTTTTACTGTTACTTGATTTTTGTCTCTACTCACTTCATCGAAGTGAAAAGTCAACAAAACGAGAGTTTTCGACACCACCTTTCAATCTAAGCATTCGAATAGCAGAAGCAGCTTGAAAGTTGGGACGAGTATGGTCAAGGAACGATGCCTCTTATGGTTAGGACGGGTAAACTTGATTCATGCGATTCGAAGCTGGAAGTTTCGACCTTGTTAATGTGCATCTATGGGGAGCGACTGCCTGCAATACCCATGTACCATGTTTTGGAACCTCTCCCATGAAGTGAAGGTGGTAATCAATGTGAATGAGAGAGCTTTCGTTACCGCTGAAAATTCTCCTCTCCTTGGCATGGATCCCCGTGAATGAAGCTCTAGACGCACTCAGTAGAGCATCCGGTGCGATGCTTGTCTGTGAGGTAGGAACTGAATCCTTTTATGGCTTAAACCGTTTTGCGCCTTCCTGAAAGACATTGCTTCCTAGTCCAATCACTAGTAAATGGGCCTCCGCGGTCTCAAATTTTGATTAAATAATTAATTGATGATTTCGCTTTGAAGGCACTCCACTTTCAAAGGCAGGGCTCGCGATCAAAGATGGTGAGTAATGGAGCTCAAATGCGACAGACACGGTACTAGATTACTGCATAGGGGAGAAAAAAATCAAAAAAGAAAATTGAGAAGTGCCCTCTGCAGAATGCATTGACGATCCCAGCTTCTACGTGCACACAGTAAAAGAAGGCGTGTCTGCGCGATCTCTAGCTCGTTGTTATCACGATGATATCAGCTGTTTTCCTTTATCGCCTCGCTCTCACCATTCGGAATGGAGAGTGCTTGTAGATGGGCTGCTAGTTAGTAGCTTGTAGCCACTGGGCGTTGAAATGTATTAAAGGCAGCGCCCGCGTTCAATTTGATGAGTTATGGGGCTCAGACAGTGACAACAAGGTAGCGAGTAGTTCATTAGTGAAGAAAAATGCAAAAAAATCATCGGATATGCCCCTATATAGGACCCCACGCCGAGCTGAGGTTGTACGTGCTTAAGGCGAAGAGAAGGCGCGGCCGCACGAGTTCTCACTTGTTGGTATCAGCTGTTTTCCCTTATCACCTCACTCTCACCATTCGAAGTGGAGAGAGTTAGTTGCGGAACAACCGCACCATCAGGCAACCATTAGAAATGAAGTTGGGCGTAGTGGTCGCCAGGTGGGCGGGGTGGCCGACTCTTCACGAGCGGGCGCCGCTATTCTCTCGCATTTTTGAGTTGCGAAACTAGTACGTCCACCATCCTCATAGGGTGAGCTACGATATCCAAAGAGGGCGTGGAAACAACAAACGCGGGCGCTGCCTTTAAGGGAGGCTCATGGGCCTAATTGTTCAGCTTCCTCCGGATCTTGCAAGGCCGTGAATTCCAAAGGCGTTCTCCACTCAGGCCGCGACTGGAGATGACTTCATTGGTGTACATGAAGGTGAATGGCGGCAGCCGGCTCCTGCTTATAGAGGAGATCTTGGGT